TCCTAACTAAGAACAATAATATTAAAATGATTTTAATGCCATCATGTTATTGACAATCACCCCCACAATTACGCAAACGAGTACAAACTAAGTGTGATTTGACGCATTTACAACGAATCAAATGAATCTACTTCTCTACTCTCACCATTTTCATCAACTGTTGGATGCTACACGAGCAAAATTGCTGTACCGTGGAAAGAGTCGTGGGATTATGATCTATATTGTCAACTGCTGCTGTTGTAAACAATCCTTTCCGTAACTTTGACGGACAAACAACGTCATCACTCTCAAACCTTGCTATTACTTTATTAGCAATGTCGGAAGAAACAGATAAAAGCCGATCGTACGAGATGCACAATCCCAACTTGAAAAAAGCGTCGATAAGTGATTTATCTCTCGTAGTTCCATGAATTTTGAGAAACTGTATATTGGTACCGGACATTCCTTTTCTCTAGTGTGATGAGGTCTTGACGCTTCACGCTCTCGTGAAGTGCAATTGAAGACAATATGTTGAGAGATGGTTAAGCAAGCTTGATTTGGATCTCTTTCTGCCAGTTTTTTGTTTACAATGGCCCCTTTAAGTATCATATCTATAAAAAATTTTAATGATGCTGGAACAGAATCCTTTTGACAATCTTCGAAGAATTTTCCGTCGAACGAGTTCTTTGTTTGAAATATATCTCTTCTTATAATCATAGCCGCTTTTGCTAAATGCCATGCTTCCGAATCTTTTTCCTTTGCCCCTTTAAGAGCGTTTTCAATTTCATGTTTCAATACAAGTGTAGTGTCTCCTCCTTGACTTTGATCAGTAAAATTGGGAAAAACAATCAAGATTCTTTCCTTCAGTCTGGTAGTAATAATTGATCCACTTTCAACTCCTAATGCCTTCAACTTCATTTTAAAATATGTTGTTAGCTCCGTCATCTTAAACAAAACTAGACAATCTGATTCTAGTTGTTCTTCAATATAAGCAATAAGTTCAGCAAACGCTAGCCCATCAAGGTTTGGTCCTGAACGTTCAGGGTTTGTTGATCTCTCAGCCTTCATTTCCCTTCCTCGATTATGGAGAGAAATAAGACATTTAGGATGGTACTTTTGTTGGTGTTATTTAAAGTAGCATTCGTATTAAATATATTAACCGCTGACCATATACCAAATATGGTGATATGAACAAAACGTGCTATAGAAGTATTTCTAGTGAGGTTGATTATGTTGAGCTATCTTATGTAAAACTCGTATTTTCTTAAATAAAATAAATCGTTCTGAACCATTCGCGATCCACCGACATATTCAACAACTTTGCCTCCATTGTAACCATATCACGATTCGATACTTTTGCTATAAGTTGTCTGTCGTTTAGCAAAACAGCAAATTCTCTAACCTTGCAGTCTATCTCAAGCGTTTAAGCTGCACGAACGTTTGAAGAGTTGTCTGGTTTATCACAAAAAAAGCACTCGTTCTTGAAAAGTGCAGGGAAGCTTGCTCTTCTGGCTTTAACTGGACTTCCTTTTTCGATCTCAGATGTTTTTTCTTAGTCTGTCTTCTCCGCAATTAAGCTTCTTTTCGGGGCAAGTTGCAACTTTGTATTTTTGAAAAGATCCCTACATGACTTATGGCATGATGCTTGGCGTTCTTTCAGCGTTTCTTCTATTCCATTACCTCCATCGAGACCCTTTACGTCTAGATTCACCGGAAACATATCAATTTTAATAAATTCTTGTAGATTTTTCGCAAATGAGGAGTACCCAACTCCTTTATCCTTTCTTTTTGAGTTTGACGAGCATTGTAGACGTTCTGCAGTGTCCTTTTGACAAACTATGCATAGTTTCCAGTCCATGAGTCATATAATATTCTACGAGGGAAGCAGTTATTGACACTACATGTGCATACCTTGTTGTGTTTACATCTTGATCGAAAAATAATTTTCTAGATTAAATTGAGCACGCAATATATCAAAGTTTTGTGTTTCTAGGCATAGCAAGAATGTGAGAAAGTTTCATACTTGTATCATCAAAGTGAAGGGCTAGGTGTTTTTTTTTTGTCACTAACAGCTGCACTACTACTCGTCCACAAGAGCAAGATGTAATTTCACAGTATAAGTCAGTAAAATGACTAAAAATAGCAATGGAAATTTTGTTGTAAAACAAGACAGCTCATGATGGAAGAACAAATCATTTTTCTCTTCGAATGATTCACCAAACTAACGTACAAGCTGACGATATGTTGTGTGGTAGCAAGTAATTTTCAGCGCCATTGTACACTTGGTTTCCATACTTCTGTCTATATTGGTACCAAGAACCCGTCGATTGAGGCAAACATCAGCAAAACCTGTATGAAACGTATTAAAACTGCAAGGTCTGGTCTCTTTTAAGAGGTTGTTGACCTCTATGCTTTTGTCTCAAAGTTGGCTGATTTCATGGCAGCACACGCATTTTTCTTCTCGGTTTATTGTCTGGCTATTATGACAAATACACATTGTGAATTGTGTTTAAATAAACATTCAAAAGTAAAAGGAAATGGAAGACATGTGAAGCAAATTACCAATCATTATTTCCTAAAGCAATTGGAAGCACATTCATCTCGTGATTCTCGTCACCTTCACCTTAACAAGCATATAAATCTGAGCTGGCGCTAACTCATCTTGGCTCAAACTATTTGCCAAAAATGTCTCTTACCCGTAAAATATCATTGATAACTTCATCAAGACTCTCACGAAAATAACTCAATTAGCTTTCTTAGAAAAAATAGAAAATATTATTGCTTATTTTTGCTATGTATTTATATAGTGTGCCAGCAAAAACAGTAAAATATATCGTGTTAAGCACGCAATAACGTCAAAAATTAAAGCCGCTGACAATACATCGTCTGCATAATTTGGCTTCAAACAAAAATACAAACTTTAACAATCTGTTTCTCCATCGTTCATAATATTTGAGCAGAAATATTTTAGCAATTAACTAATATGGTTTAACATATATCTATTCGATGAATTAATATTGATTTTTTAGTGGAGTTCCCCTTTAAGGCCCAATTAAACGATTTACAACTGTCACCAGGATACATCAGTATCTTTATCCTGCAGGATACTGATGTAAAGTGGACAGATGTATTTAAAAAAGAACAGGAAAACATAGGTCAAATAAGGACAAAAAGAGTAAAGGCAGTAGTTTAGCAGTAAGAGTTAGGACTTCCAATTTCGGCTATGTTGATCAAAAAGTAGATATCTTGTGTTTTTAAGATACATTAAATCAGTTAATTGGACTAAAATTTTGTCACAAATAGAAGTTTGATAAAAATTTTCGTGATGTGAATATCATTTCAGATTGAGTCATACGATTAAAATGAAATATTTAAGATGTAATCTTCAATTTAGAGCAAGTAGTTTGTGATTTAGAAGAGAAAAAGAAAATTTAAAGACTGCTAGATAAAATGAGAGATAGTATGACTAGTTGCAAGATAGTATTAATTGTTGTTGAATTCAATGGACATGTGCTGCAGGTAAAATATATGACAAGGATTTAGTGGGCAGGTACGTTATCCAGGACAGGATCATTAAGAAAAAAGTGGGCTGGGAGAAAATTGAAATGGCTGTGATGAGTACTTATTACAGAGTCCAGAAGAACATAGTATGACTTTAAAGATGGAGGTAGAAGTACACTGATAGAGTAAATTTTATTTAGACGATGTTATCACAAAGAAAAAATAATTTCAAAATAGTGACTGATTAGCCAAAAGTAAGGATTAGTGTTTTGCCAAAGAACTATGGAGGTTAGAACTAGGTATATGATAAATAAAATGCAGAGTGAAAATGGTAGAAAAAAAAGATGAGAAAAGAAAAAGATATGCAGATTAATGTGTCACAGTTTAAGGAAACCAAGAACATGAATGGAAATATATTGAAAGATACCAGAAATTTGTTAGCAAGATGCCGAGAGCGGTCCAAAGAGTTGATAAGTAAGGAAATTTTGAGGTGTACTAAATGTGAAGGAGATGCTTTTCGTGCACCTGTAATTTGCAAATATAAGAAAAGATGAATTAGGAGTGTCTTCAAAATGATGAAGATTGTGAAAGTGTCTAAGAGAAGTGTCTGTTGAGTTATTGATCCTATTTATAAGATAAAGTAAATGCAGAGAAATGTATGAGAAGTGGACTAAAAATGTTTTAAATACAATGGTAACCTTGAGACTTGTACAAGGTACAAGTCATATAATTAATTTCTACGAAAGAGTAATGGAAGCTAGACTTAGGACAGAAATGGGAATTTGTAAGAGGACTATATTTTCCTGTTAACAGAAAATACTACCTACGAAACATAGCATTAGGTATGCGGATGGAGAAATACAGAGAATATAAAAACACATGCATGGTGTCTTAATTGATTTTGAGAAAGCGTATGATAAGGTGCAGAGAAACTAATTTTGATGCTGCATGTGGAAGACTAGAGGGGCAGAGAAGTGTGTAAGAGTGGTATAAAAAGCTATTGCTGCAAGTAGGATTTCCAAAAGTAAAACAATAAGAAAGTTTATAAATACATTGCAATAGAACATGAATTCGAAATGCTTTAACGAAATGTTATTCAAAATCGTTTAATGAAGTGAACACTTAGATGAAAAGCAAAAAGAAAAATGAACATTGATTATATTGCATGCTTTCATCTTATGAAAAGCAAAACAAATTTTTTTCTCAAAACCACATTTGCTGTTGTTATGCATTCGTAGAGCACATTATTTGTGAAATTTTAGCATTTTTTCATTTTTTTGTATTTCTTTTTTACAAAATTGAGTATTTGACATTAGGCAATGAAGGATTGGGAATTTATTTAAAAAATCCTGCCTAATAGCATCGTATCTAAAATGTTAATGGGGAAGAGCTGAATATTCAATCATCAAGTTGGGAATTGCTTTTTAAAGAAATCTGTCCGACACAACTGAATATATGAATTTTCACCCCCTCCTCCCACGCCTTCACTAGCACAGCTGGATAAATTCAATTTTTTGTAGCGCAAATGGAGAAGGTGAAAAGATGTATGACCTTAGTTATCAAGCAAGGGTACAATCGAATGGCAACGTCAGTTTGGCTTCTCCTCTCCTCTTGGAATCAATATGTCATATCAACCTCAAAGACTTTCCATTTGATGCTCAAAAATGTGAATTGAGAATTGGCTCCTGGACATACGATAGCTCTGACCTAGATTTAAAAATAGCACCATCAACCAAAGGCATCATTATGGACCACCTAGAAACCAATTCTCTTTGGCATTATAAACATAAATCAGCCAAGGTTGTGCATAGCTCCATTAAGTACACGTGTTGCAAATTTCCATTCCACGACCTAATTTATACTTTTGAATTTCAAAGAAAGTCACTATATTATGTGTTGAACATAATAATACCGACAATGTTTCTATCAGCTCTGACCTGTATCTCATTTTGTTTTCCTCCCCATTCTGGTGAGAGGATATCGCTTGGGATCTCAGTTATGATTGGTATATATCTGATTATGATAGTCGTAAACGAGCAGACACCAGTCTCCTCCGACACTAGACCAATGTTGACTTTATTTCTAATCTGTATTCAGGCGTCTACATTTGTGTCCCTTTTGCTTACTGCTATTGCCCTGCAACTACATCACAAAACAAAGCCTTTACCCAGTTGGTTTAGGAAGTTTTGTGAATGCATAATTAAAAAAATATGTAGGATATGTAAGACAATGAAAAAAAAAATCAACGAAAAAATCTGCGGGTGTCAGCGTTGCCCCCTTTCTAGTACTCCCTGTAACAACAACGACAGTGAGAGCAGTGGCGGTATCCATAATCCAGGATGTCAAGAATCGGTTAGACATCAAGTATTTGATTATTTCTTTCCTTTTCTTTTAAGTTTGGATAATACTAAGCAAAGAACATAATTATGACATTTTAATAGTACAAATATAGAATGATGTATGATACATTGATCTCGACACAATCAAGTCTTTCTTTGTTTCTTATAGTCTCCAAGCAGTGATGCTGGAAGCATACCAATGGATCTACAGGAGGAAACGAATTCAACGAATCTACAGGAGGAAATATCCACAGAAAATAATGATTCATGGGAATATGATATATTTTCCTTTTATTTTTTCCTTGGGGTTTTCGGCATTTTTTTCATTGTCATTTTGATATATGCAGTATGACACACAAACTAGTTATATTGCCAATGCTTAAATATATAATCTTAAAATAATCGTAATTGGTAATAACATATATTGTAATGGTTGAACTGTAATTTTTGTTGGCTTACATATTATGAATTAGTTTCAAAAACATTTTTGCCGGGCATGACTGTTTTCTCATTAACTATTAAAAACGTCTACTGGGACTAAAACAAACCGGTGCTTTCTCACATTTACCAAGCACGAAACATAACAACTCATACGTATTCACTGACTTGTAAATTTTATACCTTTATAATTATGAGTAAATTTGTTAATTTTTTGTTGAAGATTTCTATATCACTTAAATTTTTGTCCTTAAAGATACCCAAGTTCATAGACAAATGGGAATACAAAATTGTTGAGTACATTTTCGATTTTGCAGTTCGATGACAAGAAACAAGCAGCATTGTAATATTAAACAATTATTGAGTCTGGATGACATCAAAAATTATTCAAACCGAGGTCAGTGTTATCTGCAGACTGCCTCAGCGAACGGAAAAGCCTCATTCAATGATTGTTTTATCATTCACTTCAACTAAATGAAATATTATTAAAACATACCAATATAAAACAGTTTTTAAACTTTGCTAAATTGTTCTTGTCAGAAGGTTTATTCAAGCTCTTCTGCTTTAAAAATTTTATAAATATCTTCAAAGCCTGTTTCGCTGCTTTTTTCAATGTATTCTGCATCCTTTTACTTAAAAAGCTTTTTTATACATCGTTTTTAAAATCGCTGGAAAACATCGCTGTTATTTGACTGTTTTTAAAACAGGCTTCTATTATCATCAGTTATT